AGCAGTGCCAGTGTCCAGCAATGAATGCTGAGCAGTGCCAGTGTCCAGCATAGACTGTGAGCAGTACCAGTGTCCAGCACAGACTGCTGAGCAGTGCCAGTGTCCAGCAAGGAGTGCTGAGCAGTGCCAGTGTCCAGCACAGACTGAGCAGTGCCAGTGTCCATAATGACTGCTGATCAGTGCCTGTGTCCCTGCCACGCTGCCCGTGTTCTGTGTGACTTTCCTGCAGCCCTGCCAGCACGGGTACAGCCAGCTCTGATCCAGCTGCACACCAGGAGGGACTCCTGAGCTGCTGCTCTTGTGCTCCTCTTCCCAGAGTGAAAACCCCAGTGCTACAAACCCCAAAGCAATCCTTTCAGGTAATGTGCAGAGCTGGGGCGTTGCTGCCTCACCGTTCATGGCACTGCTGCCATCCTGTGGCACAACAAACATCTGCCAGACACTGTGGGGTTTTCAGTCTTTAATTGTAAAAACAGAGTTAATACATCACCAGTGACCTGCTGTCCGTACAGGCTTCACCATCCACCAGGAATCATTTGCTATGGACTATTGTTTTACTCACGTGGGACACTGAGTGTGGTTTAATGTTTGACAGTTCAAACTTTTCTTTGTAGCTGTGCCATGATGAAAACCCAATGGAAAAAAAAGTTTTACAAAGAAAAGTTTCCTGAAAGCAAGCAGGACCCAGAGCCTGCCTTGAGCTAGTGCTGAAGATCTGTAGTACCCTGGCATTGAASAGGAATACGGTGAACTTTTATTTAAGAACAGTTTTAATATCAGGGACTGAAATCACAACTTTAACTGTGTGGATGATCTCAGCTGGCTCTCCAATGCTACAGAAGTGGCCCAGTGAAACTTATACCCAGTTACAAATGAAAACCATCTTCCAAGACAACTTTTTCAGAACCAGCACAAGAACTGTTTCAGTACAGCATCAGAAGTCCCTAAGGGAACTTTGGTTCAAGGGGTATTTCTGGGGAAATGTGTCAGTTTTTATCATCATTTACCTTCTTGTCATACACTGCTCTAGAACAGGAAGTTGCTCTSTGAACACCTGTATGACACGGGATTTAAAAAAGCAGCAAGTGGGCTTTACAAAGAGTATGAGAGAAGTACAGAGCCTGGAAAAGCTTAGTCTGCCTAAAAATTAATTGTGGGCTTTGCACAACTAAACCTATGTGTATGCAGAGAGAAAAACTGGAAGCAGTGTACATTTAARTGCTGCCATCATGCTAAAGAACCAGGGGTAACATTCATTTCAACAGTATTTTTGTGTCATTAGTCAGGACTTGCTTAATTCTATCTAGGAAATACTAGGCCAGACCAAGGTCTGTCTAGAGCAGCAGCAATGCATGCAGAGCAATGACTTTTTCCAGGGAAGTGTATTCCAGGGGAAACAGGTGAGTTAAAAATGTACRTGGTGTTTGACAAAAACACCTCAGGGGTTCTGTGGAGTCTGTTTGGGGAGCAGGGAAATGTCCTGTCCCCTGTCACCAGCACAAGAAGTCACTCAGCACAAGTGCATGGATCTGGTTTATCACTAAGCAGAGTCTGGTACAGGARCAAGCAAATGACAACTGAAGTCCTTAGGCCAGTTTTCCCTCACGTAAACCTTTTGTTCAAGGTCTGATCCTTAAGTTGCCTTCAGCACAGAGGAGATGRAATGTGGTGTCAAAGAGTTCAGCACCCATTCCCTCCTGGCTCCCTGCCYTGGGACATCCCAGCATTTCAGCACCATCCCAAATGTTCATTACAGGGATCCTGACAYCAAACTCTGGCACTGCACACCCGTGTCCAGTGCTCACCAGAGGCTCCTCACTGGTGCTGAGGCCCAATCCTCACCCCTTGCTGCATTAAGGACAATACAGGAACCCCTCGAGTCCTTAAATCCCAACAGGTCTTTTCATTCCACCTGATTTACASAGCAAAGAACTTTGCTCTCACATCTACCCAAAAAGAGGTGTGTTGCTAACCTCCTCCAAAGGTTTCTATTAATTCCATGGGTAGTGGGAGAACTGAGGAAGGAATCAAGTCTTTTTGACTTTATTTCTTTTTTCATTACACCTAATTCCCCATCTCTCCAAGTCTCCTCTGTGCCTGAAGTCAATTTATTTCTGGGTAAAACCAAAGTCCTTTATTACAGGAGAAGCTACTCCTGAGAAGAGGGTAAAGCTTGGTTTGAAACTAACTTAAGCCTAATTCAAAATTACTACAGGAACCTTCTCAGCCACAAGCTTCGAGGCAGACAATAGAGCATCCCCACTGCAGTCCACACACCTTCGACTTCAGCAGAATCAAAGTGATGCCAGCAAGGAACTTGGACCATGAGTTTATAAAACTATTCTTTTACACAGTTGATTCCAGAAGCTTCACCAGCTGGGATGGGGACAGTGTGATGTAAAACCTGATGATCCCATCCAACTGTAGTGAGCAAGGCATCATCTGAAGGAGACCAGGACAAGCCTTTTACAAAGTCTCGATGAGAGCGGTCTCTGAACCTGGAAAACATCAACAGTCACTGTGAGTGTGTGGGTTTGTGCAATCCCTAAGTGCTGTTAACATGTGCTCCTCTATTTTGGAGGATTTGCACCTCCAGAGAAGCTGTGGCTGCCCCATCCCTGTGTGCAAGGCCAGGCTGGATGGGGGACAGCAGAAGGTGTCTCTGCCCATGGCAGGGGTTAAAATGAATCATCTTTAAGGTTCCTTCCACCCCAAATCATGCTGGGTTTGTGTGTATTAGTGATGAACTCAAGACAACAGCAGTGAGTACATCCTGTGTGTACTTACACCTCAGAGAGGTCTGAGTCAAGAACAGCAACTGAACAGTCTTCACTGATTGTAGCCAGTAAGGGTGAGCTAGAGGACACAGATGAGAGCACAGTTAGAACAATCATCACAAGAATTTTTAGGGATAAACTTGTGAAAAGCAGGAATCTTAGTGATCCTGAGCCAGGTACAGTGAATTAACTCACAGAAAATCTTAGAAAAATGTTTTCATCAGCATCTGGCAGGGTGCCAGTGMACTGAGTGGGAATGTTCTATTAGAGGCTGAGAGCAAGTGATCCTTCTTTAATCAGAGGTGACTTTAATTAGAAAAATCCCCACAGTGGGTGGGTCAGTAATTCTGGAGCTGCAGAATTCTTGTCATGGACATTCACACGTCAGAAGTGAGATGTTTGCTCTATTCTTTGCTACAACCTCCTTGATAAGAAAACCAAAATGGGCAGGTTTTACACAAAAATAACTCAGGGGCTGCAGCCCCAGGGTTGATTCTGTACCTGTGTGCAGAGAAAGCAAAGCCTGTGATGCTGCGGACGTGCACGGCGGCGCTGAGGGCAGAGTCAGGGTTCTTTGTGTCCACCAGTGCAACTGCTCCACTTTCATCACCTGCCACAGAGGGGGAATGGAGTTACCAGCAAAAACTGTCCTGTCAAAAACTGTCCTGTGAAAATCATGGCCTTGATTTGCCTGGTGGAGCCCAGGTTCTTACCCAAGACAAAGACGTCGCTTTTCTGTGGATGCCACATGACTGAGGTAGGGAGGTGATTACAGGCACTGCAAACTGCGAGGGAAGAAACTGGGATGAGTGTRGAAGGAGTCAGCACCAAGATATTCCTCCTCCATCTCATTTAGCACTGCTATTCCATCAAGATGAGTGTTTTAAGCTTATTGTACTCCTGTGACAGTGTGAAATCTCCTTAGGTTTTAACAGGCACATCACTAGATTTGGGGTTAGACTTAAAAGTTGGGCATAAAATGATTTATTTCTTCCAACMCAAACCCATGGAGAAGCAGTGACTSCATACTGAAACCTACCAATTCGGGTAGCTGGTTTGGGGCATCTGGTGTCCCAGAGTAAAATTCTGTTGTCCTATAAATCCAAAAGGAATGAGAAAGAATGTTACAATTTCTTTGTGGCATAAATTCAGATTTACAGTCAAAATATCCACCCCCCTCTTTATTCTTTTGGGTTAAAATGATGCTGTTATTAAGTGCAGCCTTCAGTCATCCCTGGGACAGAACTAGGAGCTCCCAAAATTTGACACAAACCTGTAAGAATCAGCTTGGTAAACTGATTATCARCTTATCAGACTGCAATAACACAGGTAGGCAGGTTGCAACACGAGGTGGTTTCTAAGTGCATTAAACTGTAAATACCTAAAGTTAAATCTCATTTTTATGGAGTACAGTTAGACAATAGAGTGAGCTTTACCTCAGCACAGGACAGGAACACAGTGTCCTTACCAGGACAGGAAGCCACACATGTCACTGCATCGGAGTGAGCTACCAAAGCACAAAAGGATAAAGAGCCTGAAAGATTGTATCCAACTTCCCCAGCCAGTCCCAAGGACCTGCAGAGGCACAGCAGTTTAACAAAGATTCCTTCATGCCCAGACACAGCACAACTTCTGCTCAGCACCAGCCAAGMGCTTCCTACCAAAGTGATGAGAGCCCAATCCAAGCACAGCCACAAATCCTTGTGACACYCCTGGGCTGAGGGAAGGACCAAAGTAAAGGGGCTCATAAAAAGGAGAGAGGGGTGGCACGGAACTCACCTCTGTAGGAGTGCAGCACCATTTGCTCTGGGATGTCCCAGACTTTCACGCTGCGGACAAGAGCGAGCAGTGAGTGTCCAGCAGAGCCCTGGACACGGCTCCAGGCTGGGGACACTGTAAAACCAATGTAAAACCAGTGTAAAACCAGAGACAGGACACTCACCAGAAATCCCTGCCCCCGCTGACAGCCTGGGTGCTGCCGGCCAGGACCGACACCGTTGTCACAATGTCATCGTGCTC